GTATTTCCGAAAATTTCGGCCCTTCTCAATAAAGATGATTTTGAGTACGACGACAGAATCGAAAGTCAAAAATGTTTTTGTCAGTAGATAGCTCTTGAAATTCTCTATCGAGACATTGCCATTTGAATTTTTTTGTCGAAAATCTCTTGGTTAGGAAAAACGAAATACTGAAGATGCGTTTTTTCTGTTTTTTTAGGAAAAATACTGTTTTCTACCTAACTCCGCCAAAATAAGTTGAAACTTAACGATATTTTCACATATCGTAGAGTTTAGTGACAGCTTTCTTTTGACGAAAGGATGAAACCTCTATCTGTCAGGGGAGCCGAGACATTGCAAAAATAAAAAAGGCCTTAAACTTTTGAACAGCACTGTATATATAAAAATTAAATCGATCCTGAGAGGGTTAAGGAAGAATCTACGACTCGATACGGTCGTATATCCACTGTCTACGACTTTGATAAATAAAAACACATGCAAAAAAAAGTTGTCACTCAAGATCCTGTAATTTTTGCTCCCAAGATCTTGAGTGACAGATTCAAGATCTTGAAACATCTTGCTTATACCACTCAAGATTTTGAAATTTCTTAACCCAAGATCTTAGGTACAAAATGTTTCACCAGGGTAACGTTTTGATCCAACTAAATCGTGTTTGCGAACAAGTCTAGCAGTAAATTCGAAAAGGTAGAAGAAAGAATAAGGCAATCTTCATGTTAGTTTACGCATAAGAATTTTTCAATTGCAACTCGTCTTATCGAGCTTTTCTAGGACTACAAAATGGTATATTCAGTCAAATAGTGGCGTAATGTTCACAAAACGCAACAGTCAGTTTGAAAATGTACTGCGTTGACTGACTGCATAGGATTTTACGGTTGTACTTTATAGCCCTAGAGATCAAATCTTATAGAAATCTTACAAAATCTTATACGCTCCAGTCGATAGAAATGCATACTGTGGTTATCAGATTCTTATAAGATTCGTATAGTCAAAAACGGAAAAAAAGAAAAATAATACCTTTTTTTTTGTTGTTTAAACGACGAAGGCAGAGTTTAGAATTTTGAAATTTTTGAACATTTTTTATAAGGCACTATAAGATTATAAGAATCTTATAAAAAAAATTATAAACTAAAATCTCACCAAAATCTTATTCAATTCTTATAAGATCCTTATATTGCGAATTATAAGAATCTTATAATTATAGTATGCGTTTCTATCGACTGTAGCATAAAAGATTTTTGTAAGTTTCTATAAGATTCTTATCTGATTTCCGTACTTTCGATCGACTAGAGAGGAACTCTTTTCATGTAATTGAGTGGACTATCTTTTGAAAAAAAAGTTGAAGTCTCAACTGTCCAAATTGATAGAGAAAAGCGAAAAATACAAACAGTGCCATTCTTTATGGAACACTCGTTACTTTACTGAAGTTGTTAGAAGCAAACAGTTTGTCAGCGAATGATACCATTGGATCATATTTGCCTTCCTATGTTTCTGCTATACAGAAATTGAGTTCGTGCCTGTTTCGCAGAAAGAATTAATCAGATCAGAAACAAAACATTTCCAAAAAGAATTTTAATAATGAGACAATGTTCAATTCAACGACTCAAAATTCGAAAATTTCAGTGCTTCATGAGAACATCAACTGTCTCCATGATTTAGTGACTTTTACAAATATATCGAGGAAGTAACAGTTCATGAATTTTATTTTTCAATTTTGTTTTGTCTTTAGATTTATTTTGTCGTCTGTTACTGTATAACACCATTCTTCTGATTGGGAGAACAATCTCGTCCATTCTAAAATATAAAACAACAAGAAATGGCTAATACACCAATAAAAAACATACTTGTTCGATCAAAATCTGAAAGAATGGATAACAGAAGTCGACGAAATTCTATTGAATTTTTGACAATGTCACAAACATTACAATTAAAATTGGATGAAAGACGTGCATCACAATTATCATTAACAAGAAGAAAAATTGTTAGTGCTCAGAGTCAGTTAAAAAAGTGAAGAAGTGGATGAAGTATCATCAACAAAACGTCGTTTAAGTGATGTTGACTCGATTATTGATTTACATCCTGATGTTGATAATCCAACACCACATACAGATGTACATCATATACCATTAAGAGATTTAATTCAATGATTTAACACAAATATACAAAATGGATTAACAACAGACCAAGTGAATGAAAAAAGAGAAGAATATGGTAGAAATATTTTAACACCACCATCGTCACCTGGCTATATTTGGATGTTTGCAAGACAAATATTAATTGGGTATGTATCAAATGAGTTTTGATAGTACATGAAATGAACCGATCTCTATCATTAATAGATTCAATGGTGTTTTATGGTTGGCTGCTTTATTCGCTTTTTTAAGTTACAAACCGTTCGGTAATTATTTTAAGGCAAACAAAAATAAGCTATTTTTTTTCTTTTTACAGAGAATATAGTTCCTTTTTATTATTTACAGGGTGTCACATAACCATTACGCCCCCCTCTAGAACTTAAAGTATAGATGATATCAGAGAATGTTATATATCAAATTAATCTACATGAAAATCTGGATTCAGTAGGATAACTAATAGGTCGTACAGCAACTATCAGATATGGAATTGTTTGATTGAACAACACTTCAAAATGCGCTTGTATTTTACAATTTTCATTCTTTCTGTACATTTTCTCATAAAAATAATAGCCCATTCGTGATCTCCATCAAAACTGAATCTATAGATGTGTTATTCGCATGTTTTTGACAAAAAACAGGGTTTTTCGAAAACAACGTATATTGCAATTTTTGCTATTTTTATGACACTTTTCAACATAAATAATATCAAATTCGTAATCTCCGTCAAAAACTGCGTCGAATGATATATAAATTGAGCTATTTGAGTTCAAAACTTTTTTTTTGAAAATTTTCCCCTGGATATTTTCGAAAAACTTTTTTTTGTCAAAAACATGCGAATAACACGTCTATAGATTCTGTTTTGATGAAGATCACGAATGGGCTATTATTTTTATGAGAAAATGTAAAGGTAGAATGAAAATTGTAAAATACAAGCGCATTTTGCAGTGTTGCTCAAAACATTCGAACAATTCCATATCTAATAGTTGCTGTACGACCTATTAGTTATCCTCCTGAATCCAGATTTTCATGAGGATTAATTTGATATATAACATTCTCTGATATCATCTATACTATGTGACACTCTGTACTATCTACTTATTAGGCATTGAAAAGTTTCAACTGAGAAATAATATGGCTTTGGCAAGCGTATTAAAAGAAGTTAACTGTTCTTAAAACCCATACATTTCACGAAGACTTTTCCCATTTTAGTGAACTTGATCTATGCCAATAATCGTTTTTAGTACACTGTTTTACTTATCTGTTTGTTGGTTCTATTATTGTATGTTTTTGTATTCAAGGTGAACCAGCGCCCGATCCAACAAATTTAGGCTTGGGAGTTGTAATTATTTTGGTTATTCTTCTTAATGCTTGTTTTAATTTTTATCAAGAAGTAAAATCAATTAAAATAGTTGCTTCATTTTCAAAAATGATACCAGAAAAAGCAATTGTACATCGAAATGGTATTGAAGAAGAAATAATGGCCGATGAATTAGTTCCAGGTGATATTGTATCGATACATATGGGAGATAAAGTTCCAGCTGATTGTCGTCTAATTACATGCGAAGGTTTACAGGTGAACAACAGCGATTTAACAGGCGAAAGTGAACCGGTTCGTTGTACAACAAAATGTACAAATTTAAATTATTTAGAATCGGCTAATCTTATATTTTATTCATCATTGGTTGTACAAGGTAGTGCCGAAGGAATTGTTATTTCTACGGGTGATAAAACCGTTTTAGGACAAGTTGGTAAACTAACTCGTGGTTCTGGCTCATCGGATATAACTGCATTACATCGGGAAATAAATCGTTTCGTTGTATTTATTATATCTGCTGCTCTTACAGCTATTATTGCAATAGTCAGTATAGTCGAAGGTTTACACTGTGTGTGATTGTGATAGTCTTTCTTTTTTCTTTCTTTACAGTGGATAACATGGGCTGCTTGGCTAAATGTGAAGCAACATGGCTATATTAGCGCTAATGGGAATGTTGTCAATAGTATTGGAATGGTTATTGCATTTATTCCAGAAGGACTTCCAGCTGCAGTTACTCTAGTGTTGACAATTGTTGGTAAGTATTCAATGTACAAAGCTAGTTTTCAAACATTTCTCGTATTTGAACAAGAATTCCTTTTTATTTAACTTGATTTTAAATGAGAGAGTATTCGGACTGGAGCGGAGGGTAAAAAATAAAGTCAATTACTAGATGTGCAAATCTTCTAAACGGTCATTTATCATCGAAAAGTATGTACTTTTTCTAGGACGGTCAATCTCAGTGTGTCAGAAGCTTGGCGTGTTAAAAAAATTTCTTATTTGCTATTTTTCTCGTGAACTATTACATCAAACGAAAAAATGATTGCAAAATCCACTCGATCGGACTCGGAGATTGGAATCTGGTCAATTCCTTTGTGTTCCGATATTTTTTTCCCGGAGGATCTGGAGATCGGATCCGATATCCGGAACTAGGTGGATCCGTTAATTTTCGGTGACCAGAAATCGACGGATCCTGTGATGTGCACTTTATACTTTTCTCTTTCTTTTCTGTGCACATAATATATCCACCGTTTTGTTTTACGACAGGAGCATTTTAATTACGACACTACAGAAAATGAAAAATAAGAAGTTGTCCTTCTCAAATTCTTAACAGTGTGAATCATCGTTCACACTGTTCAACGGACGCGTTGTACACGTCCGAGCTAGTGAGCCCCACCACTCTCTCGAATGAACAGAGAGAAGAACCATTAGAAAATGAAAGAAAAACTTGAAGACTATTTTTAACCTCAAAATTGATCACATTCTGTCAAATCCAACGAAATCCGATTCATCGGCCGGAAGATGTCTGATCCTGTCGGATCTTTTCCGATATCTTCCGGCACGGATTCCAAGCAACGGATTTCCTGTATGGTTGCTGTCGGATTTTACTGAATTCCTACAACTTCCGGCATGTTCCGATGTTGGATCTTGACGCCGGAATGGACGACTTGGGTTGTCACTCTTAGCCAAAACATAAGAAATAAAATCGCCATTTGATAGGCTTAAACAACAGCGGTAGACAAGTAGAATGCATTATTAGTCTTAGTGTTTAAAGCTAGATGGTCACTTCTCAGAGTGTGTTTTGCATACTTACGACCTACGTCCTAGACTGTCACTAGGAATCCGCTTGACGTTCACTGTATGTGTCATGTAAATAGTTTAGTTCTTACAGTTACATAATGTGTACAGCTGTGATTAATGTGCCCTCAATGTTACGCATACATGTTAGATTTTGGGATACTACCTTATAGTATCTACAGACTAAAATTTATTTTTCTTTACCCCACAGTGGACATCCAGGCGGACATTCAGCGAGGAATTTACGAATAAAAAGTGCTGAAGAACAAATACCTCATATGAATTGACCCC